CTGAAATGAGGATTCATGGTGGCGAATGTAAATGCTATCATCATCAGGTACCTTGCCGACTGACGTGGGCGATCATCCCTGTCCACAATCCTCGATCTCCTGCAGCATGTATCAGTTTGTGTGCTGACACACCTCCATGCCATGCAAAAGACTTTTAAGAATCTTCTCTCGTTGTCTTCCTCTTTGTCTGGTTTCTTGTAAAAGCTATCGACGCATTTATTTAGAACACAAAACTAATAAATATGTCAGAGACAAAATATACACATTTGCAGGACATCAGGAACCTCTCTTGGCAGTGGTGAAGCTAGCTTGGTTCGAGTACGTGGTGGGACATGATTCAATTGCAAAGACTGTACTTTAAGGAACATTTAAATGTGGTTGAGGGGCGGGGGTAGTCGAAAAAAAGGAGGACAAGAAAGAATCTGGAATGACAACATCTCAAGAAATAGAGAGGACCTAAGTTATCATTCACTTATTCATCAAACGGGAAACAGAGAAAGATGGCGGGTTTTATGTGCTAGCACTTCTGCCTATACATCTCCACGACCCTATCGGGTCAAGTGTTATGTTTTCTAAAAAAAAGGGGGGGGGATGTTTAGATCTGGTGTAAATGCAAGCTCCAATTCATAATAGTAGTTGGTGTCATCGATTTGTTTTCGCGTTCACAAGGTTGTAAACTCAAGCAAAAAGTTATGGTTGTTCGTCCACTTCTGGACCTTAGTCTTGTTCCAGAACGTGCGTTTTGCGTGCACGTCCTTTTTAGAGATTGTTGCGTGGACATCGCCTTCACAGATGTGGCTTCTTTTTTTTTTTAAGACTTTTGGTTTATTGCCTCTCAAGTAGATGCACTTCCACTTTGAAGCAAATACTCTTACTCAGTCACCTTGTACCACATGCTTGTTATGGGGCAGTTAGTTTATTAGGACCCTGGAACACATACGGGGACAGCTAACTCTTTTAGAACCAAGCGGTTTATCATACGCTAATTTGCACAAATAACATCTACCAGTTTGACTTTTTTCTATCACAGCCTATGATAATAATTTATTTTATCAAAATTGCAAGCTTAACTCCATCTAATACATTGTTAGTTTAACTCATTCAAATCCTAACACTGACTGTTTTACCTCTTTCAGTCCCAAGAAACGCCTGGTGTGTGATGGAATCTGCCCGTTGATGCCCTCTTATAACATAAAGTGCTCTCTTCTATTTTTTTTTTTTTTTTTTTGATAATTTATTTTACAGTCAGTCAGTAGCATGTCCTTTGCGGAACCTTGCTTCCATAACAACCCTTGGGAAAACTGTTCAATCACAGCAAGATGCCAACCGTCCGATATACCCATCTGGAGATCATCCGCCACATCCTACACCCATCTTCTCTTTTGCCTTCCTCTTCCTCTCTTCCCAGTCATTTACCCCTCCATTATTGTTCTCTCCAAACTTTTTAAGTGACCAAAACATTCAAATGTATGTGATTTATCGCCTGTGATAACCAACCTTCTTCAATATTAAGTTCTTGAAGTATGGATACATTAGTTCTTTTCTTACCCATGATATTCTTAGAATCCATCTTTAACATTTGCATTCAAAAGCTTTTATGCGCTGTTCAGTTTGTTTAGGTGTCCAGGTCTCACAGGTGTATGATGCATCGGGGTAGATGCAGGCTCATTTTTGTAGGATTTTTTATTTATTCATTTTTTAATTTTTAATTTGTGTGTGTGTGTGTTAAGAACACGTGAAAGAAATTTGGAGTTGCCAAATGGTAAATGTGTATATTGTCACTTTGAAAGTGGTGTATTCACAATTTTTCGACATGGTTTTGTCTTGACTATGGGATCTGTTGTGAAACCTTATGCTAACAGAAGGGATGATGTATTTGTTTCTATTTTAGAAATATTTCAAGAAATTATTGTCGGCTACAACATTCATTCACAACAAATATCAGAGACGTTTCGGTAGGAGTCGAAATGATTCTGATTCTTTGTTGTTGTGGGTATTAGTTTTCTTTCGAGACAGGCTCCGGTCTACACGTTCAATTGTGTGTGTGTGTGTGTGTGTGTGTGTGTGTGTGTGTGTGTGTTGCCAATCCCCCCCCCCCCACATCCCCCTCACACACACACACACACACATACGCACACTTTTTTCTTGTTAATTATCATAGTCACAATTAGGTCGATTAATTTTTCTTGATATTAGCTTGACTGCAGTCACTCTTGTTTTTCATCACTTTTATTGCTAATCTACTTATGACACATCCAGTGATATTTATCTATTAGATCTCCTCTGTTATCTTAACTCTTTTACTACAATTCATCGTTTATTGGTATCAAGTAAGAACTGATCTGGATGTTACCAAATGAGAACAATGGAAGGCACAGAACTGATAAATTATTTCACTGATAAATTATTACATGAAACATCGAAGAGTCAAATGATTTCGTCATCTGGTCAGAATGAAACAGAGCTAGCCTGAAGTGTGCTATATGAAAACAGCAGGCCACAAGTCAAGCGGCCGATTAAGAAAGATATGGGTGGAGTGTGTAAAAGAGGCACTGCAAAAACATAGTAAGCATTTAACCCAAAAGCTACACAACTAGCAAAGGATAGGAAACTACATCTAACGACTCTCTCTGACGTTTAACGGTATAACCAGTGGGACAAAAGGGGAAAAAATAAGAACTAATTGGAAAATAACTTTTGAGTAAATGAATGTTTAGTTGCGGAATAGTTAACTAAAAAATGTGACATTAAAAACTCATAAGTAAAAAAAATAGCATATTTTAATATTTATTATGTTGCATAAGCGGCGTCCGACTCGTAATTCCAATATACCGCGATCGAAATCCACTGATGGCTGTGTGGATTTTTATCATGGTCGAAGGTCGACCAAGCCTAAGGAAGTAAAGACCACATTACCCAAATAGTGTTAATCGGTCTTTAAAAAAATATAGGTGCTCTTCCCGTATGCCCGGTGCACCTAAAGGCATGAAAAGGAATCTTGACCTTATTTTATGTTGCATAATCTTATTCAACAGTTTTTTAAGACTGGTCAGCCTCAGAAATCGGCTCTGGTCTTCAACAGATTTGGTAAATGACGTATCATTGGCTTTGAGGGTAAGGACAGAGTACGATGATAATAAGTGTAATTTTTATTCCACGTCATACAATAACTGCTTTTGGTGTTTCGACTAACAAGTCCTGCCTGCAGCAATCGAATCTAAGTATCAGAATTACTGCTTTAAATCCCACAACTTCGGATACCATTTTCTAGAATGACGTACGAGTTTGAAAAAGAGTTAGTTACATGTTCTATTCATGACGTGCCAACTTTAATTACATCCTCGACATTTTAGGTCGAGAGAGGTTATTTTATAAAGAAAATAAACGTAATCATAAAATCAGCATTGACTGGCACTCTATGGTTTTACTGTAAAATTTTACGATCAATAGTTAATGTGTGGGAAATTATATAAACCAGATCCTGAACGTAAAAGTTCGATGCAAAATACAGCTAGAAAGAAATTTGAGTAAATAACAGGTCTAGCGGCTTGAAAATGATATTGCTGGTATTAAATATTTCTGAACATAAGATACTTGACAGCAGAAAGCTATTTTGATGTTGTGTTGAAAATTCAATAGCATATTCTGCAATATTTTATTTAAACTGTTGTCTATAAGAGACAGAAATAAGGAAGGCAAGCTACACTATTACTAAACGGCGTAGCTGCAATTTTCACGTAATATTATCCAACTGTGTACAATGTTGATTTTTGTTTTTAATCCCAAAGTCTATATTGTTGTTAGACTGTCGACCCCAGAGAGGCTTTAATGGAGGAAATGAAACCTCTCTGTGTTCCTCTTTTTTCCTCACTTCCTCTTCTACTACTTCAGGTGTCGAGGGATATATACAGTTCTGCTTCTTGCTCTTCTCGCCGTTACAACCATAGATACCACATGTAGAAAGTTTCTAATGTTATCTTTCCATGATGTTCTTGGTCTACCTTTTGCCTTACGCCCTTCTCCTTTTTGTTGTGTATGGCTTGTATGGTTTATCTTTATATATGTTTAATTTGCCAATGGTAGGAACTTAGGTATGAAGTTTATTACCTCCAAGAGTGCAGTCTGCAGGATTGCAGTCTACAAGCTTGCAGTCTGCGGGATTAACATCTTAAGGATGAGAATCTTATATATATATTTATATATATATTCCAGAAACACAGTTTGAACGTATAGAAAACTTATTTTGACGGTAGTCGGGAAGGGGCAAAGATATATATTTTTTCAACGGATCAACATCCTGGCACACGGAAGCAACCCACTAGTATTCCCTTCTACTTCTAAATCAAGCCTAAGTCTGAAGACTCCGTAGCACCAGCAAGGATCCTGGAATACTTTGGGTAGATTTTTAACTCCAAATTGTACGTTTGCTCTTGATAGAAAAATAAAATCGATGTCCTTACTAAGGACTCAAGCTATGTGTTTAGGGCTCATGATTGGGTTCACAGTTATCTGATCGCTAATCCATTACCAGACAAAGTTCATTCGAGACTCAGTGGCCTTTTAACAAGCTGCTACAGAAGATTGTTGCTCTTAAACTGCAAACATTTTTCGCAAACCTCGTGACAAGAGGTTTGAGTAGTTGCCGGTCAGGGAAAGATTTCCTGGTCAAATGCCGCCATCTTTGCTTTTGATGTTTTTAGAGAGTTTGAGAATAGACAGGAGACATCAGTGACAGGTTCGGTCCTGGGAAGTAAATGTGGCCTGTGTGATGTTGATCTCATCACCCACCGAGTGCCGATTGTTGTATATAATATAGGTTTTGCCCTGTATGCCCAATACACATTAAGGCGTGCAAAAGGCTCCTTTTCATACGTTACTAGAATTTATTTTAAAAAACAACATAAAATATCACATTAAAGATTGAGGGGGGCGGGGTCTAATATTAAATACTTTTTCTAGGGAAAACATTACACGCATTTATGTATGAGAAACATGATATATTAACCACATTTGTGGAGGGAAAAAACATTATATATTAAATACATATGTGTAGTGAAGAAATTATATGTTGAACAGATTTGTGTGGGGAAAACATTATATATTAAGCACATCTGTGTGGGGAAAACATTATATATTAAGCACATCTGTGTGGGGAAAACATTATATATTAAGCACATCTGTGTGGGGAAAACATTATATATTAAGCACATCTGTGTGGGGAAAACATTATATATTAAGCACATCTGTGTGGGGAAAACATTATATATTAAGCACATCTGTGTGGGGAAAACATTATATATTAAGCACATCTGTGTGGGGAAAACATTATATATTAAGCACATCTGTGTGGGGAAAACATTATATATTAAGCACATCTGTGTGGGGAAAACATTATATATTAAGCACATCTGTGTGGGGAAAACATTATACATTAAGCACACTTGTGTAGGGAAACACTTATACATTGTATTAGACACGTTAATAGTACAAGAAATAATTTAAAAACAGTGTTTTTCAAACTCGATTTTTAGGCGAGAGACAATTATAGAACAAATGTTGGGATTATATTTTACAGATCAATACGACATGTCCAGATTGGTCAGTGTGACGAACAGCTCCACATCAACAAAGCCCTCGGATGTTCAGGATAAAAACCGCTGACTATGGGCTAGGAAGGAAAGATCATCACTTCCAGACTCCGAGCGTTCACAATCCAATCATTGATGTTTAATGATACAAAGAGGATCTTGCGCGCACAGACAATATGACTCTCTCAGACAACTCGACGTTTGGTGGTCAAACGATGAGTGTAGACTTCGTAAGTGATAAGCTTCGTGTGATTTTTCTAACTGTCAACCATAGCATACTTGCCGGTGCTGTAGCCGTTTTCGGGATTGCAACAAACCTCATTAACATTGTGGTCTTCTACAAACAAGGCATAGGCGACACCATGAATATCAGTCTCCTTGCACTGGCTTTTTCCGATTTGTGCTCCTTAATTTTCCTTGAGCTGGTGAACCTCTTCAGAAACCCTTTGTTTATCTACAACGTCCCTGTCCTGGCAGATGAGGTCCAGCATCTGTCAGCAGCTTGGCCCCACGCTTGCTTCGCCAGAATCACCAGTTGGATCACCGCCTACATCACGCTAGAGAGATGCCTTTGTGTGATTATCCCACTGAAGGTAAAAAGAGTTGTCACCCCTACAGTGACCATCTACTCCATGCTAGGCATCTATCTAGTCATGTTTCTAACACTCGTCCCTGACTATGCCACCTGCTACATTGACTGGAAATTCAGCCCGGCTTACAACCAAACAATGCTAGGACTAATCTTTCTTAAAGGCAGAAATCAAATGGCAGCTTTAAGCTTCGTCTTGTCTGCTGCAACCCAGATAGCTGGATTTTGCGCAGTTGTGTTATGTACTTCCATTCTAGTTGTCAGGATTAATCAATTATCAAAATGGAGACTGCAGTCAGCCAATGATACATCGAAAGAAAGTTACAAACGAAGCAAGAAGACGATCAAAATGGTTCTCCTGGTTGCAATGATATACTGTGTATGTTTTATGCCCATGATGGCAACTTTTACGGCAGCGAGTGTAGCAGTTGACTTCATCATTTTTGGTCCATACCACAATTTGTTTCTAACATGCTAGTCTTTTGCATTCCTCTTAGACGCCATCAACTCCAGCGTCAATATTTTTGTCTACTACAGAATGAGCACCAAATACCGGACGACTTTCGATGCTTTATTTAAAAAGAAAGTAATTGCCGTAGACACTTAATCAACACTGACCACATTAAATATTAGAGTAAGTTTGGTTAAGTTAGTTTTTTTTTACTGTCTAGAGGATGGACTACATTTCAACAGGTTATCTATATGGCGCGGTTTCTAGCCAGAACAATAGCAGTCTACCGAGAGCACAAAGCACAAACCCCGTAGCTTCAACAACGATTCCAATTAATCTCCTTAATTACTTGGCTTGGGATACTCGGCTGTGGGTTAGTCAGAACTGTCATGTAAAGTATAGTTCCAGCACGATGGGACAGTTTTCGACCAATGTAAGTGTAGACGTGTTGCATTAACTAAACCCTGATCGTGAAAAACTCAGGAAAGAAACCAGCTATCGGAAATCTTTCCACAGGATCATACTGGAACAATTCTCTATTATTCTTCTACTTCTTCTTTTAAGGTCCATACCGTATGGCGTTGGTAATCATATCTATCCACAACCTTCTTTCTCCTGTACTTTCAATCAACTCTGACAAAGATGATCCTCCATGCCATGATGTCAAACTGTCCAGCATCTATTCTCTCGGTCTGCCTCTGCCTCTCCTATCCTTCAACTTTCCTACTGCCCGGATGTACTCCAGTTCTCTCGTCCTCATCATATGACCAAAGATTGTAGGTTGCCTCTTTCTGATGAGGCAATCGCTTCTCTTCATGAGTCAGTTTACTTCAAGACGTCTTTATTACTTACTTTTTTTTTTAAATCTGTCCATGGTATTCTCATCATTCGTCTATATATCATTCCGCCGCTTCCAAATATGTTTTCACTAATGTAGCAACTGTCCATGATTCACTTCCGTATATCAAGAATAGATTTATATAACTTTTAAAAAAATATTTTTCTTCTCAATCGACAAAGAAAGATTGAATACAATCGTTATTTTAATCCGCTGCAGTAAGAGCCACATCCTGAAATTAATTGTCTTCTTGAGTGTTCGTTGCTATTGTTGTTATTACCATTGACATATTATGACAGTAATATTCCTAGCCTGCCTCTTGTTTCAACATATAAATTAAAAGGCAGCATTTGCATTGTTTCCGGTTTGTGTCAAGATGGCGGGACGTGTTTCTCTCTAGCTCGGCGCATTTCGGCTGTCATCGCAAACTACCAAATGTTGTAGAATCAGATTTCTGGCTCTAACTGCATGATGATTCGTTCTAATCTGTTAAATTCGAAGGACATCTTTAAAATTGGTTACTGGAATGTTAGAACCATGTATCAAACGGGGAAAACAGCTCAAGTGTGTAATGTTGTGAACGATTACAACCTGGATATTCTCGGTGTCAGTGAGTGTAGATGGACTGGTTCGGGTAAAATATTTTTAAGTTGTGAACAAAAACATATAATCTATTCGGGAAGAACAGACAACCACCATTCAAACGGAGTCGCCATCATTATGTCAAAAACAACGGAAAAATCGCTAATCGGCTGGGAACCAGTAAATGACAGGATTTTATCAGCGCGTTTTCAGACCAAACATTTCAAACTAACTATTATACAGTGCTACGCACCTACGAACAACGACACCGACAGCATCAAAGATAATTTCTACGACCTCCTGGTTGGTGTCATAAACAAAACTCCTAAGCACGACCTCCTTGTTGTAATGGGCGATTTTAATGCCAAGTTAGGGTCTGACAACAAAGGTGTTCAAAAATATATGGGAGTACACAGCCCAGGAGATATGAATCAAAACGGAGAGAGGCTAATTGAACTCTGTGAAATAGCAAATCTAACAGCAGCAAGCTCCTTATTTCCGCACAAAGACATACATAAAATAACCTGGATTTCGCCAGATAACATAACAAAAAACCAGATAGATCATTTTTGCATCAGCGCCAAATTCCGTACATCAGTGCAAGACGTTAGAGCCTACAGGGGAGCTGATATTGGTAGTGATCATAATCTTTGTATTGCCAAACTAAAAATTAAACTCAAGTCTCTACTTAAACCACCCAGAAATAAGACAATAAACTTACAAGCCCTTTTGTCAAAAGATTATCAAAGCGCATTTAATACAGAGATACTCACCACATATGTAACCAAAACTAGTAATGCGGATACTACAAATAACATAGACAAAAATTGGGACTTTTTCAAGAGCACACTGACGAACGCTGCAGTAAACACAGTTGGTTATGTACAAAAGCAGAAAAAGAAGTGGCTAAGCGACAACACTTGGTCAAAAATCCAAGAAAGGAAACAAGCAAAATTAACACTTTTATCCAAAAAAGACACATCTTCATACGAAAAATACAGCACGCTAGACAAAGAAGTGAAATCAAATGCAAGGAAAGACAAACAGAACTTCATACACGACCTCGCCTCCGATGCTGAAACAGCTGCCAAGATTGGAAACAACAAAGCCGTATTCCATATTATGAAACAACTGTGCAATCACTCACCTACACTAAATACACCCATTAAAGACAAGCAGGGGAAACTACTGCTATCCGACGACCAACAAACAAAGCGATGGGCAGAACATTTCAAGGAAATATTAAATAGACCACATCCTGACATCATTCCCAATCTAGAAGAAGAAATTATTACACCGACACTAGTTGCCTCCAGCGAGTCATTCACAATAGAGGAGATTAAAACAGCTATTAAAAAATTAGGAATAAACAAAGCTACCGGAGAGGACAACATCTCAGGGGAAATGCTCAAAGCAGCGGATGAAAACACCCTGCAACATTTGCTCCAGCTGATGGATGAAGTCTGGCAAAACGAATACCCACCACAACAATGGAAAGATGGTGTAATCTTCAAATTACCTAAAAAAGGTGATTTATCCAATGGTAATAACTGGAGAGGCATCACCCTGCTTTCGATACCAGGGAAACTATTTTGTAGTATGCTACTAGAAAGATTGAAAAAATCCATAGATGAAAGATTAAGGGAAGAACAAGCCGGTTTTAGATCCAAGCGGTCATGCATAGACCACATCTTTACTCTTAGAATAATTGTTGTAGATTCTACAGAATTCCAGTCGAAATTATTGATCAACTTTGTCGACTTCCAAAAAGCCTTCGACAGTATCCATCGTCCAACACTCTGGAAATTGCTTAACATCTATGGTTTCCCCATCAAATATATCAACATCATAAAATCTTTTTATAATGAAACACGATGCTGTGTAAGAACTGATTCCGGCAATTCTGACTGGTTCCCGGTGGAAACAGGAGTGAAGCAAGGCTGTGTCCTATCGCCGATGCTTTTTGATATAGCAATCGACTGGGTCATGCGCAAGTGCATGAATAACGCAAATTTAGGCATTACATGGGTTGACAAAATTCTGGAAGACCTAGACTTCGCCGACGACATAGCACTCCTGAGTTCAGAACACACAGACGCCCAAGAAAAATCAATCGACTCCAGAATTTCTCAAAACAAATTGGACTCCAAATTAACACCGCAAAAAAAAAAAAATTCTAGACCTTACCAACAGTTAAGTTGATATCACGCTGAACAACAACAGCCTTGAAAAGGTCAACAGTTTCACTTATCTAGGGAGCAAGATGTCATCTACAGGAGATACCGCACCAGAAA